CCACGGTAGGTCCTGGTGTCAAGGACATGGGTTCGCATTCGCTGGTCCGTCACTATGTAGTCCAGCAGATGTTCTTGCTTGGACCCGGCATGCATCCATGATGTTGTGTGGATGCGCCGATGCCGGAACAGCGTGTTGGTAATTACAAGCCCATGGGCTGCACAAAAATCTAGCAGCCTCCTACCGTTGTTATTGAGCTGATCTGGCCCATGCCCTCCAATCACTCCACACCAGGTGCCAGTATCATGACCAACTCGGGCATTGAAGTCACCCAACATGATGACTCTATCCCGAGGGGCCACTTTAGCCAGCACCTGTGACAGGAGGTCATAGAAGGCATCTGACTCATCGGCTTTGCCTGCATCCCTCCACGGATGTTCATCTTCGGTTGGGGCATAAGTAACCACGACCACCATTCCTCGCCTCCGGTTGATGAGAAGGCGAGCCCAAAGTAGCCTGGGGCTTGCAGCTTCCCACACCTCACCGCCACGCTCCCACGCCCCCTTCATTCTTTTGTTCAAAAGAAGACCCACACCCTGTTGTTTGGCAGTCTGCTGCCCCGAGTAGAGGACTGTCCACCCCTCATGGTGGCAGGAGCCAGAGCCGGTCCACCGGACCTCCTGAATGCCGCATAGATCCAGGCGGTACCGGTCCAGCTCCCGACAGAGGAGTGGCAGCCTCTCCTCCGCAGTGAGCGTTCGAACATTCCACGTGGCCACCCGTAGTGGCTTTTCGTTGTTTCTGGAGTAGCCCCAAGGGTAGAGATTCAATCTCCTGGCTCCGCCAATTGGGGTTTGGCCAGGAGACGTCATAGACGCCTGGCCCCCCGGGGCCTCCGGCACAAGCTTATTAGTTACATATTTCAGTTTAATTTGTGGTTTCGTGGTAAGTAATTGAAGGTGGAGGGGTTACCAGCCCCTCGCACCCGTCCAGAGCCCCCGTTTAGCCCCTGTGGTGGACACATATGCCATGAGGGGAGGAGCCAATCAAAATTGGATCTCCCCCCACAGCACTGTCCACGACAGAGTTGCCCGTCCGGCACCGCGAGGAGGTAGGGGGTTGTTTTGCCGCAACACAGACACACACACACAGACACACACAGATAGACACACACAGACAGACACACACACACAGACACACACACAGATAATCACACACCCAGACACACACACACACACAGACACACACACAGACACACACACTCACTCACTCGCACAACAACAACAACAACCACCGCCATTCGCCACTAAGTGGCGGTGACGTCACCACGACGCTTGTGCCAGGCCACTACACACACACGTGTACACACACACACACACGTGTACACACACACACGTGTACACACACACACGTGTACACACACACACGTGTGTGTGTACACACGTGTGAGTGTGTGTACACACACACTCACACGTGTGTGTGTGTGTACACGTGTGTGTGTGTGTACACGTGTGTGTGTGTGTGTGTACACGTGTGTGTGTGTACACGTGTGTGTGTGTGTACACGTGTGTGTGTACACACAGTGTGTGTGTGTGTACACGTGTGTGTGTGTGTACACACAGTGTGTGTGTGTGTACACGTGTGTGTGTGTGTACACACTGTGTGTGTGTACACGTGTGTGTGTGTGTGTGTGTACACGTGTGTGTGTGTACACGTGTGTGTGTGTACACGTGTGTGTGTGTGTACACACAGTGTGTGTGTGTGTACACGTGTGTGTGTGTGTACACACAGTGTGTGTGTGTGTACACGTGTGTGTGTGTGTACACACTGTGTGTGTGTACACAGTGTGTGTGTGTACACGTGTGTGTGTGTACACGTGTGTGTGTGTGTACACGTGTGTGTGTACACACAGTGTGTGTGTGTGTACACGTGTGTGTGTGTGTACACACAGTGTGTGTGTGTGTACACGTGTGTGTGTGTGTACACACTGTGTGTGTGTACACGTGTGTGTGTGTGTGTGTACACGTGTGTGTGTGTACACGTGTGTGTGTGTGTACACGTGTGTGTGTGTGTACACACAGTGTGTGTGTGTGTACACGTGTGTGTGTGTGTACACACAGTGTGTGTGTGTGTACACGTGTGTGTGTGTGTACACACTGTGTGTGTGTACACAGTGTGTGTGTGTACACGTGTGTGTGTGTGTACACGTGTGTGTGTACACGTGTGTGTGTGTGTACACACAGTGTGTGTGTGTACACACAGTGTGTGTGTGTGTACACGTGTGTGTGTGTGTGTACACACAGTGTGTGTGTGTGTACACACCGTGTGTGTGTACACGTGTGTGTGTGTACACGTGTGTGTGTGTACACGTGTGTGTGTGTACACGTGTGTGTGTGTGTGTACACGTGTGTGTGTGTGTGTGTACACGTGTGTGTGTACACGTGTGTGTGTGTGTACACACAGTGTGTGTGTGTGTACACGTGTGTGTGTGTGTGTACACGTGTGTGTGTGTGTACACGTGTGTGTGTGTGTGTACACAGTGTGTGTGTGTGTACACGTGTGTGTGTGTGTACACGTGTGTGTGTGTGTACACGTGTGTGTGTGTGTACACACAGTGTGTGTGTGTGTACACAGTGTGTGTGTGTACACGTGTGTGTGTGTGTGTACACGTGTGTGTGTGTACACAGTGTGTGTGTGTGTACACGTGTGTGTGTGTGTGTACACGTGTGTGTGTGTGTACACACAGTGTGTGTGTACACACAGTGTGTGTGTGTGTACACGTGTGTGTGTGTACACACAGTGTGTGTGTACACACAGTGTGTGTGTGTGTACACACAGTGTGTGTGTGTGTACACGTGTGTGTGTACACGTGTGTGTGTGTGTACACGTGTGTGTGTGTGTACACACAGTGTGTGTGTGTGTACACGTGTGTGTGTGTGTACACACTGTGTGTGTGTACACGTGTGTGTGTGTGTGTGTACACGTGTGTGTGTGTACACGTGTGTGTGTGTACACGTGTGTGTGTGTGTACACACAGTGTGTGTGTGTGTACACGTGTGTGTGTGTGTACACACAGTGTGTGTGTGTGTACACGTGTGTGTGTGTGTACACACTGTGTGTGTGTACACAGTGTGTGTGTGTACACGTGTGTGTGTGTGTACACGTGTGTGTGTACACGTGTGTGTGTGTGTACACACAGTGTGTGTGTGTACACACAGTGTGTGTGTGTGTACACGTGTGTGTGTGTGTGTACACACAGTGTGTGTGTGTGTACACACCGTGTGTGTGTACACGTGTGTATGTGTACACGTGTGTGTGTGTACACGTGTGTGTGTGTACACGTGTGTGTGTGTGTGTACACGTGTGTGTGTGTGTGTACACGTGTGTGTGTGTGTGTGTACACGTGTGTGTGTACACGTGTGTGTGTGTGTACACACAGTGTGTGTGTGTGTACACGTGTGTGTGTGTGTACACGTGTGTGTGTGTGTACACGTGTGTGTGTGTGTGTACACAGTGTGTGTGTGTGTGTACACGTGTGTGTGTGTGTACACGTGTGTGTGTGTGTACACGTGTGTGTGTGTGTACACGTGTGTGTGTGTGTACACACAGTGTGTGTGTGTGTACACAGTGTGTGTGTGTGTACACGTGTGTGTGTGTGTACACGTGTGTGTGTGTACACAGTGTGTGTGTGTGTACACGTGTGTGTGTGTGTGTACACACAGTGTGTGTGTGTGTACACACACACACACTGTGTGTTTGTATACAGTGTGTGTGTACACACAGTGTGTGTGTACACACAGTGTGTGTGTGTGTGTACACGTGTGTGTGTGTGTGTACACACAGTGTGTGTGTACACACAGTGTGTGTGTGTGTACACACAGTGTGTGTGTGTGTACACGTGTGTGTGTACACGTGTGTGTGTGTGTACACGTGTGTGTGTGTGTACACAGTGTGTGTGTGTGTACACGTGTGTGTGTGTGTGTACACGTGTGTGTGTGTGTACACACAGTGTGTGTGTGTACACACAGTGTGTGTGTGTACACACAGTATGTGTGTGTGTGTACACACAGTGTGTGTGTGTACACGTGTGTGTGTGTGTGTACACGTGTGTGTGTGTGTACACGTGTGTGTGTGTACACCGTGTGTGTACACGTGTGTGTGTGTGTACACACAGTGTGTGTGTGTGTACACGTGTGTGTGTGTGTACACACAGTGTGTGTGTGTGTACACGTGTGTGTGTGTGTACACAGTGTGTGTGTGTGTACACAGTGTGTGTGTGTGTACACAGTGTGTGTGTGTGTGTACACAGTGTGTGTGTGTACACGTGTGTGTGTGTGTACACGTGTGTGTGTGTGTACACACAGTGTGTGTGTGTGTGTACACACAGTGTGTGTGTGTGTACACGTGTGTGTGTGTGTGTGTACACGTGTGTGTGTGTGTGTGTACACGTGTGTGTGTGTGTACACGTGTGTGTGTGTGTACACACAGTGTGTGTGTGTGTGTACACACAGTGTGTGTGTGTGTGTGTACACACAGTGTGTGTGTGTGTGTACACACAGTGTGTGTGTGTGTACACAGTGTGTGTGTGTGTACACAGTGTGTGTGTGTGTACACAGTGTGTGTGTGTGTACACGTGTGTGTGTGTGTACACAGTGTGTGTGTGTGTACACAGTGTGTGTGTGTGTACACGTGTGTGTGTGTGTACACGTGTGTGTGTGTGTGTGTACACAGTGTGTGTGTGTGTGTACACACAGTGTGTGTGTGTGTGTACACAGTGTGTGTGTGTGTACACGTGTGTGTACACACACACACACGTGTACACACCGTGTGTGTGTACACGTGTGTGTGTGTGTGTGTACACAGTGTGTGTGTGTGTGTACACACAGTGTGTGTGTGTGTGTACACAGTGTGTGTGTGTGTGTACACAGTGTGTGTGTGTGTGTACACGTGTGTGTGTGTGTGTACACAGTGTGTGTGTGTGTGTACACAGTGTGTGTGTGTGTACACGTGTGTGTGGACACGTGTGTGTGTGTACACAGTGTGTGTGTGTGTGTACGCACCTCGCTGTGCACGGCAGGCTGCAGGGTGAGTGTGAGGACGTGCGGCCCGCGTTGAGCGGCGTGGCCGTGGGAAGCGGCCGCCCCCGTGGCCTCCGTCCCCGCACGGGGAGGCGTCAACACCTCCAGCACAGGGGCAGCAGCAGCAGCAGCACGTGACGTGACGTCACAATACACACTCCTCACACAGCATGGCCGCTACGAAGTCGGACACTCCGCCCCCACCGCCGCCCCCCTTATCCAACATGGCTACCTTAACGAACCCCACCCCCCCCCTACACAACATGGCCACCGTGACATCACACACCCCCCCCGCCCCTCACCCAGCATGTCCGCTATAAAGTCACGCCCCCCCCCCCTATCCAACATGGTCGCCTTAGCAACCCCGTCTAGGGGCGGGGCTAGTTGTGGTGGGGTGGGGCTAGCCGTGTGGGGGCGCGGGGCTAGCCGTATTGGGGGCGGGGCTAGCCGTGTGGGGGTGGAGCTAGCCGTGTTGGGGCGGGGGCTAGCCGTGTGGGGGCGGGGCTAACCGCGTTGGGGCGGGGCTAGCCGTGTTGGGGCGGGGGCTAGCCGTGTGGGGGCGGGGCTAGCCGTGTGGGGCGGGGCTAGTCGTGTGGGGGTGGGGCTAGCCGTGTGGGGGCGGGGCTAGCTGTCTCGGGGCAGGGTAGACGTGATGGGGGCGGGGGCTTAGACGCGTGGGTGGCAGAACTAGCCGTGTGTGGGCGGAGCTAGCTGGATGGGGGCGGGGCTAACCGTGCGTGGGCGGGGCTAACATGTATGGGCGGGGCTAACATGTATGGGCGGGGCTAACATGTGTGGGCGGGGGCTAGCTGTGCGTGGGTGGGGCTAGCCGGATGGGGGCGGGGCTAACTGTCTCGGGGCAGGGTAGACGTGATGGGGGCGGGGGCTTAGACGCGTGGGTGGCAGAACTAGCCATGTGTGGGCGGAGCTAGCTGTGTGTGGGCGGGCTAACATGTGTGGGCGGGGGCTAGCTGTGTGGGGGCGGGGCTAGCCGGATGGGGGCGGGGCTAGCTGTCTCGGGGCAGGGTAGACGTGATGGGGGCGGGGGCTTAGACGCGTGGGTGGCAGAACTAGCCATGTGTGGGCGGAGCTAGCCGTGTGTGGGCGGGGCCAACATGTGTGGGCGGGGGCTAGCTGTGTATGGGTGGGGCTAGCTGGATGGGGGCAGGGCTAACTGTCTCGGGTCAGGGTAGACGTGATGGGGGCGGGGGCTTAGACGCGTGGGTGGCAGAACTAGCCATGTGTGGGCGGGGCTAGCCGTGTGTGGGCGGGGCTAGCCGTGTATGGGCGGGGCTAACATGTGTGGGCGGGGGCTAGCTGAGCGTGGGTGGGGCTAGCCGGATGGGGGCGGGGCTAGCTGTCTCAGGGCAGGGTAGACGTGATGGGGGCGGGGGCTTAGATGCGTGGGTGGCAGAACTAGCCATGTGTGGGCGGAGCTAGCCGTGTGTGGGCGGGGCCAACATGTGTGGGCGGGGGCTAGGTGCGTGTGGGCGGGGGATAGCCGTGGGCGGGGCCAACATGTGTGGGCGGGGGCTAGCTGTGCGTGTGGGCGGGGGCTAGGTGTGTGTGGGCGGGGGCTAGCCGTGGGCGGGGCCAACATGTGTGGGCGGGGGCTAGCCGCGCGTGTGGGCGGGGCCAACATGTGTGGGCGGGGGGCTAGCTGTGCGTGTGGGCGGGGGCTAGCCGCGCGTGTGGGCGGGGCCAACATGTGTGGGCGGGGCTGGTACCCGCGAGTGGAGGATGCGACTGAGCTGTTCGTGGACCCCCTTGATCCGCATCTCCCTCTCACGCTGCCGCCTCCACAGGCGCCTCTCGCGCTCCTCCCGCTCCTCCTGCTGACCACGATCCTCGCCCTGCCGCCGCTGCTGCTGCCGCTCTCCACTGTCGCTCAGGCTGCCTGCCTGCAGGCGGGGAGAGAGAGAGAGAGAGGGGGGGACAGGGAGATGGATGGAGACAAATGGAGAGAGAAGGCGAGAGAGGGAGAGAGAGAGAGAGCGACATGGATTAGGAAGAGAGGGGGGTAGAGAGAGAGACAGGGAGAGAGACACAGAGAGAGACACGGAGAGACAGGGAGAGAGACACAGGGAGACAGGGAGAGAGAGAGAGACAGGGAGAGAGAGACAGGGAGAGAGAGCGAGAGACACAGAGAGAGACACAGGGAGAGACAGGGGGAGAGAGACACAGGGAGAGAGACACAGGGAGAGAGAGAGACAGAGAGAGAGACAGGGAGAGAGACACAGAGAGACAGGGAGAGAGACACAGAGAGACAGGGAGAGAGACACAGGGAGACAGGGAGAGAGAGACAGGGAGAGAGAGACAGGGAGAGAGAGCGAGAGACACAGAGAGACAGGGAGAGAGACACAGAGAGACAGGGAGAGAGACACAGAGACAGGGAGAGAGACAGGGAGAGAGACACAGAGAGACAAGGAGAGAGACAGGGAGAGAGACAGGGAGAGAGACACAGAGAGACAGGGAGAGAGACAGGGAGAGAGACAGGGAGAGAGACACAGAGAGACAAGGAGAGAGACAGGGAGAGAGACAGGGAGAGAGACACAGGGAGAGAGAGACAGGGAGAGAGAGAGACAGGGAGAGAGACACAGAGAGACACAGAGACACAGGGAGAGAGACAGGGAGAGAGACACAGGGAGAGAGACAGAGAGACAGGGAGAGAGAAACAGGGAGAGACAGGGAGAGAGAGACACAGAGAGACAGGGAGAGAGACACAGGGAGAGAGACACAGAGAGACACAGAGACACAGGGAGAGAGACACAGGGAGAGAGAGATGAGGCACAGACACGAGACGCACAAACAGCGTTCACTCGTGCCAGGCTAGGTGCACGCAGAGACGCACACGGGGAGACGCGGACACCGCGCTAGTGCCAGGCTAGGTGCACGCAGAGACGCAGACACCGCGCTAGTGCCAGGCTAGGTGCACGCAGAGACGCGGACACCGCGCTAGTGCCAGGTGCCAGGCTAGGTGCACGCAGAGACGCAGACACCGCGCTAGTGCCAGGTGCCAGGCTAGGTGCACGCAGAGACGCACACGGGGAGACGCGGACACCGCGCTAGTGCCAGGCTAGGTGCACGCAGAGACGCAGACACCGCGCTAGTGCCAGGCTAGGTGCACGCAGAGACGCGGACACCGCGCTAGTGCCAGGTGCCAGGCTAGGTGCACGCAGAGACGCAGACACTGCGCTAGTGCCAGGTGCCAGGCTAGGTGCACGCACGGACGCACCTTGGATGGCGACGCGGCGCTGACCTCTGACCCCGACCCCCGCGGGATGCGGTGGGGGGGGGCGGAGGGAGTCAGCCCCTCCCCTCGCTCCTTCTGTAGCCTGCAGAGAAACACGTGAGGGGGGGTGGGGGTGTGGGGGGTGTGGGGGGTGTGGGGGGTGTGGGTGGGGGGTGTGGGTGGGGGGTGTGGGTGGGGGGTGTGGGGGGGGGGTGTGGGTGGGGGGGGTGGGTGGGGGGTGTGGGTGGGGGGTGTGGGGGGTGTGGGGGTGTGTGGGGGGGTGGGGGGTGTGGGTGGGGGATGTGGGGGGTGTGGGGGGAGGGGCCACCCCCACCGGGCGTTGGGAGTCTCCGGCGAGTCTCCGGTCGTCAGGTCCCCTCGCTCGGCCACCTCCAGCGCCCTCCATAGCTCCTCCCCCTTGCTCCGGCCTGGCTCCTCCCCCTTGCTCCGGCCTGGCTCCTCCCCCTTGCTCCGGCCTGGCTCCTCCCCCTTGCTCCCGCATGGCTCCTCCCCCTTGCTCCCGCCTGGCCCCGCCCACCGCGGGGGGGGCGGGGCCGCGGGGGGGAACGCGCGGTGGAAGAGGCCGCGGGCGCGCGAGGCCGCAACGTCAGCGCGGAAGACGCGGGACGACCTGGGGGGCGGGGCGTAGTGGTGGGGGCGGGGCGTAGTGGTGGGGGCGGGGCGTAGTGGTGGGGGCGGGGCGTAGTGGTGGTCGTGGTGGTGGTAGTGGTGGTGGTGGTAGTGGTAGTGGTGGTAGTGGTGGTAGTGGTAGTGGTGGTAGTAGTGGTAGTAGCATCATCAACATCAGTAGTTGTGGTAGTAGCATCATTGGTAGTAGCATCATCATCAGCCGTAGGTAGTTGTAGTGGTGGTAACATCATCATCATAATAATCAGTAGTAGTAGGAACATCATCATCAGTAGTAGTGGTAGTACTAGCATCAGTAGTAGTGGTAGTAGTAGTGGTAGTAGCATCATCAGTAGTAGTGGTAGTAGTAGTGGTGGTAGTAGTAGTATCATCATCTTTAGTAGTATCATCATCAGTCACATCATCATCAGTAGTATCATAATCATCATCAGTAGTAGTATCATCATCATCAGTAGTAGTAGTATCATCATTAGTAGTAGTATCATCATCAGTAGTGGTATCATCATCAGTAGTAGTATCATCATTAGTAGTAGTATCATCATCAGTAGTAGTAGTATCATCATCATAATCAGTAGTAGTATCATCATCATAATCATCAGTCGTAGTATCATCATCAGTAGTAGTAGTATCATCAGTAGTAGTAGCATCATCATCATCAGTAGTAGTATCATCATCAGTAGTAGCATCATCATCAGTAGTAGTATCATCATCAGTAGTAGTAGTATCATCAGTAGTAGTAGCATCATCATCATCAGTAGTAGTATCATCACCACCACCATCACCACCACCATCACTATCACCGCCACAATCACCGCCACCATCAACACCACCACCATCTTGATTTAAAGCTGTGATTCCGGACATACAGTACCCTGGCGTCTACAAACTAAGTTGCCTCTGTGGTAGTAGTTACATTGGAGAAACCAAACGCCATGTCTCGGACCGCATTCGTGAACACAAAGCAGACCTTAAACACGGTAGGACCAACACCTCGGCCGTGGCAGATCACTGTTATAATTCAGTAGGCTCACATGACATTGACTTCTCCAAGACAGAGGTTCTTTGCAAGCCATCCGGCTACCGTGAGAGATTCGTTCACGAGGCTATCCACCATATACAAACACGGAGACAATTTCAACCGAGAAGATGGATTCTGGCTTAGCAATCATTGGAAGGATTTCATAAACCATTTTGGGTCTTAATTGATTGTTCACGCTTACGGTGGCTTTCAGACCGCATCCATTAATTTTTCGTCTCCCCCCTCTCCTCTTTTCCGAACTTAGATGGACTCAATTTTGATTTAAAGCTTTCGTGACTGCAGTAATTCATATTCTTTGTTTTTTCGGTAAAGTCACGTTGAAGAGAAACAACAAAATAATAAAATATATATATTTTACCGAAAAAACTAAGAATATTAGATGGACTCGTCCGTCGGAACGAACTGACAAATCGCTGCCCGTGGTGCTAACGTTTAAAAAATTTAACAAAGACGCCACTTTTTTCAAATTCTCTTGCCATGATTTTCACAGCTGATGATGACGATTGCTGCTTTGTGTTGCAGTAGAAACGTCGTGAGATTTTTATTGTTTTATATTTTTATTATTTTATTGTTTTATATTTTTATTATTTTATTGTTCTATATTTTTATTATTTTATTGTTTTAAATTATTATTTTATTGTTTTATATTTTTATTATTTTATATTTTTATTATTTTATTGTTTATCCTTCTACGTGCTGGTTTTCACCAGCTGATGATGATGATGACTCCTGCTTTGTGTTGCAGTGGTAAACGTCGTGAGAATTTTATTGTTTTATATTTTTATTATTTTATTGTTTTATATTTTTATTATTTTATTCTTGATGATTGCTGCTTTGTGATGCAGTTGTAAACGTCGTGAGAATTTTATTGTTTTATATTTTTATTATTTTATTGTTTATATTTTTATTATTTAATTGTTTTATATTTTTATTATTTTATTGTTTATCCTTCTACGTGCTGGTTTTCACCACCTGATGATGATGACGATTGCTGCTTTGTGTTGCAGTAGAAACGTCGTGAGAATTTTATTGTTTTATATTTTTATTATTTTATTGTTTTATATTTTTATTATTTTATTGTTTTATATTTTTATTATTTTATTGGTTTATATTTTTATTATTTTATTGTTTTATATTTTTATTATTTTATTGTTTTATATTTTTATTATTTTATTGTTTATCCTTCTACGTGCTGGTGACTTTAGCGAAAGGACCAAGAATATACCACCACCACCACACCGTCACCACCATCACCACCACCACCACCACCGTCACCACCTTCACCACCTTCACCACCGTCACCACCGCCACCACCACCACCACCGCCACCACCGCTACCACCACCACCACCGTCACCACCATCACCACCACCACCACCACCGTCACCACCGTCACCGTCACCATCACCACCACCGTCACCACCATCACCACCACCACCACCACCGTCACCACCGTCACCGTCACCATCACCACCACCGTCACCACCGTCACCACCGTCACCACCACCACCACCACCGTCACCACCGTCACCACCGTCACCACCGTCACCACCATCACCACCGTCACCACCACCGTCACCACCGTCACCACCACCGTCACTACCGTCACCACCGTCACCACCACCACCACCCCACCATCACCGTCACCACCGTCATCACCACCACCACCGTCACCACCGTCACCATCACCACCACCCCATCACCACCCCATCACCACCACCACCACCACCACCGTCACCACCGTCACCATCACCACCACCCCATCACCACCCCATCACCACCACCGTCACCACCACCGTCACCACCGTCACCACCACCGTCACCACCGTCTCCACCGTCACCACCATCACCACCACCGTCACCACCACCGTCACCACCGTCACCACCACCGTCACCACCACCATCACCACCACCGTCACCACCGCCCACAAGCCTCACCTCCACGCCTCTTCATCATCAATCCTCTTCTGTCTGTCACGCTGCTGCTGCTGCTGATGATGATGATCCTTCTGACGATGATTCTGCTGCTGCTGATGCTGCTGCTGCTGATGCTGCTGATGCTGCTGCTGATGCTGATGACGATGCCTCTGGCCCTTCCTGTGCGGCCTCAGGCGCGGCCCGTACGGAGCCCCGGGCCCCACCAGGGCCAGGCAGTCGGCCAGCAGGGAGTCCTTCACATCGCGGTCCAGCGCAGAGTCGGTGCTGAAACTCGGGGAGTGGTTCACCTCGGGGGGGGGCGGGGGTGGGGGGGGAGGGGTGGGGTGGGGGGGAGAACGATGGGCGTCGTCATCGTCGTTGTTGTCGTTGTTGTCGTTGTTGTCGTCATCGTCGTCGTCGTCGTCATCGTCATCGTCATCATCATCATCGTCGTCGACATCATCATCGTCATCGTCATCATCGTCGTCGACATCATCATCGTCATCATCGTCGTCGGCGTCATCGTCATCATCATCATCATCGTCATCATCATCGTCATCATCATCATCGTCATCATCATCGTCGTCGTCGTCGTCGTCATCATCGTCGTCATCGTCGTCATCATTGGCGTCATCGTCGTCATCATCGTCGTCATCGTCATCATCGTCGTCATCATTGTCGTCATCATCGTCATCATTGTCGTCATCGTCATCATTGTCGTCATCATCATTGTCGTCATCATTGTCGTCATCATCATTGTCGTCATCATTGTCGTCATCATCATTGTCGTCATCATCATTGTCGTCATCATTGTCGTCATCATCATTGTCGTCATCATCGTCATCGTCATCATTGTCGTCATCGTCATCATCATTGTCATCATCATCATTGTCGTCATCATTGTCGTCATCATCATTGTCGTCATCATCGTCATCGTCATCATTGTCGTCATCGTCATCATCATTGTCGTCATCATCGTCGTCGTCATCATTGTCGTCATCATCATTGTCGTCGTCATCATTGTCGTCATCATTGTCGTCATCATCATTGTCGTCATCGTCATCATCATTGTCGTCATCATCATTGTCGTCATCATTGTCGTCATCATCATTGTCGTCATCATTGTTGTCATCATCATTGTCGTCATCATCGTCGTCGTCATCATTGTCGTCATCGTCGTCATCATTGTCGTCATCGTCATCATCATTGTCGTCATCATCATTGTCGTCATCATTGTCGTCATCATCATTGTCGTCATCATTGTCGTCATCATTGTCGTCATCATCATTGTCGTCATCATCATTGTCGTCATCATCATTGTCGTCATCATCGTCATCGTCATCATTGTCGTCATCGTCATCATCATTGTCGTCATCGTCATCATCATTGTCGTCATCATCATTGTCGTCATCATCATTGTCGTCATCATTGTCGTCATCATCATTGTCGTCATCATCATCGTCATCGTCATCATTGTCGTCATCGTCATCATCATTGTCGTCATCATCGTCGTCATCATCATTGTCGTCATCGTCATCATCATTGTCGTCGTCATCATTGTCGTCATCATTGTCGTCATCATCATTGTCGTCATCGTCATCATCATTGTCGTCATCATCATTGTCGTCATCATTGTCGTCATCATCATTGTCGTCATCATCATTGTCGTCATCATTGTCGTCATCGTCATCATCATTGTTGTCATCATCATTGTCGTCATCATCGTCGTCGTCATCATTGTCGTCATCGTCATCATCATTGTCGTCATCATCATTGTCGTCATCATCATTGTCGTCATCATTGTCGTCATCATCATTGTCGTCATCATTGTCGTCATCATCATTGTCGTCATCGTCATCATCATCATCGTCGTCGTCATCATCGTCGGCGTCGTCATCATCATTGTCGTCATCATCGTCGTCGTCATCACTGTCGTCATCGTCATCATCATTTTCGTCGTCATCATTGTGTTCAATCATTGTCGTCATCATCATTGTCGTCATCGTCATCATCATTGTGTCCGTCATCTCATTGGCATCATCATTGTCGTCATCATCATTGTCGTCATCTCATTGTCGTCATCATTGTGGTCATCGTCATCATCATTGTTGTCATCATCATTGTCGTCATCATCGTCGTCGTCCTCATTGTCGTCATCGTCATCATCATTGTCGTCATCGTCATCATCATCATCGTGTCGTCAGTCATGTCATCGGGGCGTCGTCATCATCATTGTCGTCATCATCATTGTCGTCATCATTGTCTTCATCATCATTGTCGTCATCGTCATCATCATTGTCGTCATCATCATTGTCGTCATCACATTGTCGTCATCATCATTGTCGTCATCATCATCATCGTCGTCATCATTGTCGTCATCGTCATCATCATTGTCGTCATCATCATCATCATCGTCGTCATCATTGTCGTCATCGTCATCATCATTGTCGTCATCATCATTGTCGTCATCATTGTCGTCATCATCATTGTCGTCATCATCATCGTCATCGTCATCATTGTCGTCATCGTCATCATCATTGTCGTCATCATCGTCGTCGTTCATCATCGTCGTCATCATTGTCGTCATCATCATTGTCGTCATCGTCATCATCATTGTCGTCATCATCATTGTCGTCATCATCATTGTCGTCATCATCATTGTCGTCATCATCATCATCGTCGTCATCATCATCATCGTCGTCATCATTGTCGTCATCGTCATCATCATTGTTGTCATCATCATGTCGTCATCATCATGTCGTCGTCATCATTGTCGTCATCGTCATCATCATTGTCGTCATCGTCATCATCATCATCGTCGTCGTCATCATCGTCGGCGTCGTCATCATCATTGTCGTCATCATTGTCGTCATCATCATTGTCGTCATCGTCATCATCATTGTCGTCATCATCATTGTCGTCATCATCATTGTCATCATCATCATTGTCGTCATCATCATCATCGTCGTCATCATTGTCGTCATCGTCATCATCATTGTCGTCATCATCATCATCATCGTCGTCATCATTGTCGTCATCGTCATCATCATTGTCGTCATCATCATTGTCGTCATCATTGTCGTCATCATCATTGTCGTCATCATCATCGTCATCATTGTCGTCATCGTCATCATCATTGTCGTCATCATCGTCGTCGTCATCATTGTCGTCATCATTGTCGTCATCATCATTGTCGTCATCGTCATCATCATTGTCGTCATCATCATTGTCGTCATCATCATTGTCGTCATCATTGTCGTCATCATCATTGTCGTCATCGTCATCATCATTGTCGTCATCATCATTGTCGTCATCATCATTGTCGTCATCATCATTGTCGTCATCATCATTGTCGTCATCATCATCATCGTCGTCATCATTGTCGTCATCGTCATCATCATTGTCGTCATCATCATCATCATCGTCGTCATCATTGTCGTCATCGTCATCATCATTGTCGTCATCATCATTGTCGTCATCATTGTCGTCATCATCATTGTCGTCATCATCATCGTCATCGTCATCATTGTCGTCATCGTCATCATCATTGTCGTCATCATTGTTGTCATCATCATTGTCGTCATCATCGTCGTCGTCATCATTGTCGTCATCGTCGTCATCATTGTCGTCATCGTCATCATCATTGTCGTCATCATCATTGTCGTCATCATTGTCGTCATCATCATTGTCGTCATCATTGTCGTCATCATCATTGTCGTCATCATCATTGTCGTCATCATTGTCGTCATCATCATTGTCGTCATCATCGTCATCGTCATCATTGTCGTCATCGTCATCATCATTGTCGTCATCGTCATCATCATTGTCGTCATCATCATTGTCGTCATCATTGTCGTCATCATCATTGACGTCATCATCATCGTCATCGTCATCATTGTCGTCATCGTCATCATCATTGTCGTCATCATCGTCGTCGTCATCATTGTCGTCATCGTCATCATCATTGTCGTCGTCATCATTGTCGTCATCATTGTCGTTATCATCATTGTCGTCATCGTCATCATCATTGTCGTCATCATCATTGTCGTCATCATTGTCGTCATCATCATTGTCGTCATCATCATTGTCGTCATCATCATTGTCGTCATCATTGTCGTCATCATCATTGTCGTCATCGTCATCATCATTGTCGTCATCATCATTGTCGTCATCATCATTGTCGTCATCATCATTGTCGTCATCATCATTGTCGTCATCATCATCATCGTCGTCATCATTGTCGTCATCGTCATCATCATTGTCGTCATCATCATCATCATCGTCGTCATCATTGTCGTCATCGTCATCATCATTGTCGTCATCATCATTGTCGTCATCATTGTCGTCATCATCATTGTCGTCATCATCATCGTCATCGTCATCATTGTCGTCATCGTCATCATCATTGTCGTCATCATCGTCGTCGTCATCATCGTCGTCATCATTGTCGTCATCATCATTGTCGTCATCGTCATCATCATTGTCGTCATCATCATTGTCGTCATCATCATTGTCGTCATCATCATTGTCGTCATCATCATCATTGTCGTCATCATCATTGTCGTCATCATTGTCGTCATCATCATTGTCGTCATCATTGTCGTCATCATCATTGTCGTCATCATCATTGTCGTCATCATTGTCGTCATCATCATTGTCGTCATCATCGTCATCGTCATCATTGTCGTCATCGTCATCATCATTGTCGTCATCGTCATCATCATTGTCGTCATCATCATTGTCGTCATCATTGTCGTCATCATCATTGACGTCATCATCATCGTCATCGTCATCATTGTCGTCATCGTCATCATCATTGTCGTCATCATCGTCGTCGTCATCATTGTCGTCATCGTCATCATCATTGTCGTCGTCATCATTGTCGTCATCATTGTCGTTATCATCATTGTCGTCATCGTCATCATCATTGTCGTCATCATCATTGTCGTCATCATTGTCGTCATCATCATTGTCGTCATCATCATTGTCGTCATCATTGTCGTCATCGTCATCATCATTGTTGTCATCATCATTGTCGTCATCATCGTCGTCGTCATCATTGTCGTCATCGTCATCATCATTGTCGTCATCGTCATCATCATCATCGTCGTCGTCATCATCGTCGGCGTCGTCATCATCATTGTCGTCATCATCATTGTCGTCATCATTGTCGTCATCATCATTGTCGTCATCGTCATCATCATTGTCGTCATCATCATTGTCGTCATCATCATCATCGTCATCATCATTGTCGTCATCGTCATCATCATTGTCGTCATCATCATCATCATCGTCGTCATCATTGTCGTCATCGTCATCATCATTGTCGTCATCATCATTGTCGTCATCATTGTCGTCATCATCATTGTCGTCATCATCATCGTCATCGTCATCATTGTCGTCATCGTCATCATCATTGTCGTCATCATCGTCGTCGTCATCATTGTCGTCATCGTCATCATCATTGTCGTCGTCATCATTGTCGTCATCATTGTCGTCATCATCATTGTCGTCATCGTCATCATCATTGTCGTCATCATCATTGTCGTCATCATTGTCGTCATCATCATTGTCGTCATCATTGTCGTCATCGTCATCATCATTGTTGTCATCATCATTGTCGTCATCATCGTCGTCGTCATCATTGTCGTCTCGTCATCATCATTGTCGTCATCATCATTGTCGTCATCATCATTGTCGTCATCATTGTCGTCATCATCATTGTCGTCATCATTGTCGTCATCATCATTGTCGTCATCGTCATCATCATCATCGTCGTCGTCATCATCGTCGGCGTCGTCATCATCATTGGTCGTCATCATCATTGTCGTCATCATTGTCGTCATCATCATTGTCGTCATCGTCATCATCATTGTCGTCATCATCATTGTCGTCATCATCATTGTCGTCATCATCATTGTCGTCATCATCATCATCGTCGTCATCATTGTCGTCATCGTCATCATCATTGTCGTCATCATCATCATCATCGTCGTCATCATTGTCGTCATCGTCATCATCATTGTCGTCATCATCATTGTCGTCATCATTGTCGTCATCATCATTGTCGTCATCATTGTCGTCATCATCATTGTCGTCATCATTGTCGTCATCATCATTGTCGTCATCGTCATCATCGTCGTCGTCATCATCGTCGGCGTCGTCATCATCATTGTCGTCATCGCCATCATCGTCGTCATCGTCGTCATCGTCGTCATCATTGTCGTCATCGTCGTCATCATTGTCGTCATCATCATCGTCGTTGTCATCATTGTCGTCATCGTCATCATCATTGTCGTCATCATCATCATCATCGTCGTCATCATTGTCGTCATCGTCATCATCATTGTCGTCATCATCATTGTCGTCATCATTGTCGTCATCATCATTGTCGTCATCATTGTCGTCATCATCATTGTCGTCATCATTGTCGTCATCATCATTGTCGTCATCGTCATCATCGTCGTCGTCATCATCGTCGGCGTCGTCATCATCATTGTCGTCATCGCCATCATCGCCGTCATCGTCGTCATCGTCGTCATCATCGTCATCATTACGGCCACCGCCACCATCACAACCCCCACCATCATCACCATCAACACCACCACGACTACCACCACTACCACCACCACCACGACTACCACCACCACAACTACCACCACTACGACTACCACCACCACCACCACCACGACCACCACCACGACTACCACCACTACCACCACCACCACGACTACCACCACCACAACTACCACCACTACGACTACCACCACCACCACCACCACCACCACCACCACCACCACCACCACCACCACCACCACCACCACCACGACCACCACCACCACCACCACTACGACTACCACCACCACCACCACCACCACGACCACCACCACAACTACCACCACTACGACTACCACCACCACCACCACGACCACCACCACGACTACCACCACCACCACCACTACGACTACCACCACCACCACCACGACCACAACTACCACCACCACCACTACCACTACCACCACCACGACTACCACCACCACCACCGCCACCACCACCGCCACCACCACGACCACCACCACCACTACCACAACCACCACCACCACGACCACCACCACCACTACCACAACCACCACCACCACGACCACCACCACCACTACCACAACCACCACCACCACTACCACCACCACCACTACCACTACCACCACCACGACTACCACCACCACCACCGCCACCACCACCGCCACCACCACGACCACCACCACCACCGCCAACTCACCTCCAACAACCACGGCCTGACCTTCCGATCAAAGATGATGTCAAAGCCAAGCAGTTCGAAGCATGGGGACAGCCTTGAACAGCAGTAGCACCACCCTGCTGCCGCTGATGATGCTGCTGCTGATGATGATGCTGCTGCTGATGATGATGCTGCTGCTGCTGATGATGCTGCTGCTGATGATGCTGCTGCTGATGATGCTGCTGCTGATGATGCTGCTGCTGCTGCTGCCGGTGCCAGCAGGCAGCAGCGAGGGTCGTGGAAGCAGGCGCGGAGCTGCTGACGCAGGGCAGGCACCACTGCCAGGATGGTTTGCACCACCAGCGTGTCCACAGACTCCCAAACGGACTCGCCGACACCACCACCACCACTGCCACCACCACCACCACCACCGGCACCACCACCGGCACCACCGGCACCACCACCGGCACCACCGCCACCACCGGCACCACCACCACCACTGCCACCACCACCACCACCACCACCGCCACCACCACTGCCACCACCACCGGCACCACCACTGGCAGCGATGCCGTCATCGCCATCGTTACCGCCACCACCGGCACCACCACCACCGGCAACCACCACCACTGCCACCACCACCACCACCGCCACCACCACTGCCACCACCACCACCAGCACCGCCACCACCGGCACCACCAGCACCACCGGTACCACCGGCACCACCACCTCCACCACCACCACCGGCACCACCGGCACCACCGCGGCTTCGTCTCAAGGATTCCAGGAGAGTAACCACGGTAGACAGCCTCCTGCAGTGCAGCATCAGTAGTAGGATCATCATCATCATCATCAGTAGTAGTATCATCATCATCAGTAGTAGTATCATCATCATCAGTAGTAGTATCATCATCAGTAGTAGTATCATCATCATCAGTAGTAGTATCATCATCAGTAGTAGTATCATCATCATCATCATCAGTAGTAGTATCATCATCATCAGTAGTAGTATCATCATCATCAGTAGTAGTATCATCATCAGTAGTAGTATCATCATCAGTAGTAATATCATCATCAGTAGTAGTATCATCATCAGTAGTAGTATCATCATCAGTAGTAGTATCATCATCAGTAGTAGTATCATCATCAGTAGTATCATCAGTAGTAGTATCATCAGTAGTAGTATCATCATCAGTAGTAGTATCATCATCAGTAGTATCATCATCAGTAGTATCATCATCAGTAGTAGTATCATCATCAGTAGTATCATCAGTAGTAGTATCATCATCAGTAGTAGTATCATCATCATCAGTAGTATCATCAGTAATAGTATCATCATCAGTAGTAGTATCATCAGTAATAGTATCATCATCAGTAGTAGTATCATCATCAGTAGTAGTATCATCATCAGTAGTAGTATCATCAGTAGTAGTAGTATCATCATCAGTAGTAGTATCATCAGTAGTAGTATCATCAGTAGTAGTATCATCATCATCAGTAGTAGTAGTATCATCATCAGTAGTAGTATCATCATCAGTAGTAGTAGTATCATCATCATCAGTAGTAGTATCATCATCAGTAGTAGTATCATCATCAGTAGTAGTATCATCATCAGTCGTAGTATCATCATCATCAGTAGTAGTATCATCAGTAGTAGTATCATCATCAGTAGTAGTAGTATCATCAGTAAGAGTATCATCATCAGTAGTAGTATCATCAGTAGTAGTAGTATCATCAGTAGTAGTATCATCATCAGTAGTATCATCAGTAGTAGCATCATCATCAGTAGTAGTAGTATCATCAGTAATAGTATCATAAGTAGTAGTAGTATCATCATCAGTAGTAGTATCATTACCATCAGTAGTAGTAGTATCATCATCAGTAGTAGTATGATCAGTAGTAGTAGTAGTATCATCATCAGTAGTAGTATCATCACCATCAGTAGTAGTAGTATCATCATCAGTAGTATGATCAGTAGTAGTAATAGTATCATCATCAGTAGTAGTATCATCACCATCAGTAGTAGTAGTAGTATCATCATCATCAGTAGTAGTATCATCTGTAGTAGTAGTATCATCAGTAGTAGTATCATCATTAGTAGTAGTATCATCAGTAGTAGTATCATCACCATCAGTAGTAGTAGTATCATCATCAGTAGTAGTATCATCAGTAGTCGTAGTATCATCAGTAGTAGTATCATCATCATCAGTAGTATCATCATCAGTAGTAGTAGTATCATCAGTCGTAGTATCATCACCATCAGTAGTAGTAGTATCATCATCATCAGTAGTAGTATCATCATCATCATCAGTATAATCATCATCAGTAGTAGTATCATCAGTAGTAGTAGTATCATCATCATCAGTTGTAGTATCATCATCAGTAGTATCATCATCATCATCATCAGTAGTATCATCATCATCAGTAGTAGTGATAGTGTGAGGGGTCTCTATGACTGTGTGAGGGGTCTCTATGACAGTGTGAGGGGTCTCTATGACTGTGTGAGGGGTCTCTATGACTGTGTGAGGGGTCTCTATGACAGTGTGAGGGGTCTCTATGACAGTGTGAGGGGTCTCTATGACAGTGTGAGGGGGTCTCTATGACAGTGTGAGGGGTCTCTATGACTGTGTGAGGGGTCTCTATGACTGTGTTGAGGGGTCTCTATGACTGTGTGAGGGGTCTCTATGACAGTGTGAGGGGTCTCTATGACAGTGTGTGAGGGGTCTCTATGACTGTGTGAGGGGTCTCTATGACTGTGTGAGGGGTCTCTATGACTGTGTGAGGGGTCTCTATGACTGTGTGAGGGGTCTCTATGACTGTGTGAGGGGTCTCTATGACAGTGTGAGGGGTCTCTATGACAGTGTGAGGGGTCTCTATGACAGTGTGAGGGGTCTCTATGACTGCGTGAGGGGTCTCTATGACAGTGTGAGGGGTCTCTATGACAGTGTGAGGGGTCTCTATGACTGTGTGAGGAGTCTCTATGACTGTGTGAGGGATCTCTATGACTGTGTGAGGGGTCTCTATGACAGTGTGAGGGGTCTCTATGACAGTGTGAGGGGTCTCTATGACAGTGTGAGGGGTCTCTATGACTGTGTGAGGGGTCTCGAAGACAGTGTGAGGGGTCTCTATGACAGTGTGAGGGGTCTCTATGACTGTGGTGAGGGGTCTCTATGACAGTGTGAGGGGTCTCTATGACAGTGTGAGGGGTCTCTATGACAGTGTGAGGGTCTCTATGACAGTTGTGAGGGTCTCTATGACAGTGTGAGGGGTCTCTATGACAGTGTGAGGGGTCTCTATGGACAGTGTGAGGAGTCTCTATGACTGTTGTGAGGGGTCTCTATGACTGTGTGAGGGGTCTCTATGACGGTGTGAGGGGTCTCTATGACTGTGTGAGGGGTCTCTATGACAGTGTGAAGGGTCTCTATGACAGGTGAGGGTCTCTATTGACAGGGTGAGGGGTCTCTATGACTGTGTGAGGGGTCTCTATGACAGTGTGAGGGGTCCTCTATGACTGTGTGAGGGGTCTCTATGACAGTGTGAGGGGTCTCTATGACTGTGTGAGGGGTCTCTATGACAGTGTGAGGGGTCTCTATGACAGTGTGAGGGGTCTCTATGACTGTGTGAGGGGTCTCTATGACTGTGTGAGGGGTCTCTATGACAGTGTGAGGGGTCTCTATGACTGTGTGAGGGGTCTCTATATGACAGTGTGAGGGGTCTCTAGTGACTGTGTGAGGGGTCTCTATGACAGGTGTGAGGGGTCTCTATGACTGTGTGAGGGGTCTCTATGACAGTGTGAGGGGTCTCTATGACTGTGTGAGGGTCTCTATGACAGTGTGAGGGGTCTCTATGACAGTGTGAGGGTCTCTATGAAGGTGAGGGGTCTCTATGACAGTGTGAGGGGTCTCTATGACAGTGTGAAGGGGTCTCTATGACTGTGTGAGGGGTCTCTATGACTGTGTGAGGGGTCTCTATGACAGTGTGAGGGGTCTCTATGACCAGTGTGAGGGTCTTCTATGGACTGTCGTGAGGGTCTCTATGACAGTGTGAGGGGTCTCTATGACCTGTGTGAGGGAGTCTCTATGACGAGTGGTGAGGGTCTCTATGACAGTGTGAGGGGTCCTCTATGACTGTGTGAGGGGTCTCTATGACAGTAGTGAGGGTCTCTATGACAGTGTGAGGGGTCTCTATGACAGTGTGAGGGTTCTCTATGACTGTGTGAGGGGTCTCTATGACAGTCTTAGGGTGCTCTATGACTGTGTGAGGGGTCTCTATGACAGTGTGGAGGGGTCTCTATGGACTGTGTGAGGGTCTCTATGACAGTGTGAGGGGTCTCTATGACAGTGTGAGGGTTCTCTATGACTAGTGGTGAGGGGTCTCTATGACAGTGTGAGGGGTCTCTATTGACTGTGTGAGGGGTCTCTATGACAGTGTGAGGGGTCTCTATGACAGTGTGAGGGGTCTCTATGACAGTGTGAGGGGTCTCTATGACAGTGTGAGGGGTCTCTATGACAGTGGGAGGGGTCTCTATGACAGTGTGAGGGGGTCTCTATGACTGTGTGAGGGGTCTCTATGACGGTGTGAGGGGTCTCTATGAATGTGTGAGGGGTCTCTATGACAGTGTGAGGGGTCTCTGTGACTGTGTGAGGGGTCTCTTGACTGTGTGAGGGGTCTCTATGACTGTGTGAGGGGTCTCTATGACAGTGTGAGGGGTCTCTATGACTGTGTGAGGGGTCTCTATGACAGTGTGAGGGGTCTCTATGACAGTGTGAGGAGTCTCTATGACAGTGTGAGGGGTCTCTATGACAGTGTGAGGGGTCTCTATGACAGAGTGAGGGGTCTCTATGACTGTGTGAGGGGTCTCTATGACTGTGTGAGGGGTCTCTATGACAGTGTGAGGGGTCTCTATGACAGTGTGAGGGGTCTCTATGACAGTGTGAGGGGTCTCTATGACTGTGTGAGGGGTCTCTATGACAGTGTGAGGGGTCTCTATGACAGTGTGAGGGGTCTCTATGACAGTGTGAGGGGTCTCTATGACAGTGTGAGGGGTCTCTATGACAGGTGAGGGGTCTCTATGGACAGTGTGAGGGGTCTCTATGACAGTGTGAGGGGTCTCTATGACAGTGTGAGGGGTCTCTATGACTGTGTGAGGGGTCTCTATGACAGTGTGAGGGGTCTCTATGACTGTGTGAGGGGTCTCTATGACTGTGTGAGGGTCTCTATGACAGTGTGAGGGGGTCTCTATGACGGTGTGAGGGGTCTCTATGACGTGTGAGGGGTCTCTATGACTGTGTGAGGGTCTCTATGACTGTGTGAGGGGTCTCTATGACAGTGTGAGGGGTCTCTATGACAGTGTGAGGGGTCTCTATGACAGTGTGAGGGGTCTCTATGACAGTGTGAGGGGTCTCTATGACTGTGTGAGGGGTCTCTATGACGTGTGAGGGGGTCTCTATTGACTGTGTGAGGGGTCTCTATGACAGTGTGGGAGGGGGTCTCTGTGACTGTGTGAGGGGTCTCTATGACTGTGTGAGGGGTCTCTATGACTGTGTGAGGGGTCTCTATGACAGTGTGAGGGGTCTCTATGACTGTGTGAGGGGTCTCTATGACAGTGTGAGGGGTCTCTATGACAGGTGTGAGGAGTCTCTATGACAGTGTGAGGGGTCTCTATGACAGTGTGAGGGGTCTCTATGACAGAGTGAGGGTCTCTATGACTGTGTGAGGGGTCTCTATGACTGTGTGAGGGGTCTCTATGACAGTGTGAGGGGTCTCTATGACAGTGTGAGGGGTCTCTATGACAGTGTGAGGGGTCTCTATGACTGTGTGAGGGGTCTCTATGACAGTGTGAGGGGTCTCTATGACTGTGTGAGGGGTCTCTATGACAGTGTGAGGGGTCTCTATGACAGTGTGAGGGGTCTCTATGACAGAGTGAGGGGTCTCTATGACAGTGTGAGGGGTCTCTATGACAGTGTGAGGGGTCTCTATGACAGTGTGAGGGGTCTCTATGACTGTGTGAGGGGTCTCTATGACAGTGTGAGGGGTCTCTATGACTGTGTGAGGGGTCTCTATGACTGGTGTGAGGGGTCTCTATGACTGTGTGAGGGGTCTCTATGACAGTGTGAGGGGTCTCTATGACAGTGTGAGGGTTCTCTATGACAGTGTGAGGGGTCTCTATGACAATGTGAGGGGTCTCTATGACTGTGTGAGGGGTCTCTATGACTGTGTGAGGGGTCTCTATGACTGTGTGAGAGGGGTCTCTATGACAGTGTGAGGGGTCTCTATGACAGTGTGAGGGGTCTCTATGACAGTGTGAGAGGGGTCTCTATGACAGGTTGGGAGGGGTCTCTATGACGGTGTGAGGGGTCTCTATGACTGTGTGAGGGTCTCTATGACTGTGTGAGGGGTCTCTATGACAGTGTGAGGGGTCTCTATGACGGTGTGAGGGGTCTCTATGACTGTGTGGGGGTCTCTATGACAGTGTGAGGAGTCTCTATGACAGTGTGAGAGGGGTCTCTATGACTGTGTGAGGGTCTCTATGACAGTGTGAGGGGTCTCTATGACAGTGTGAGGGGGTCTCTAATGACATGTGTGAGGGGTCTCTATGACAGTGTGAGGGGTCCTCTATGACTGTGTGAGGGGTCTCTATGACAGTGTGAGGGGGTCTCTATGACAGTGTGAGGGGTCTCTATGACAGTGTGAGGGGTCTCTATGACTGTGTGAGGGGTCTCTATGACTGTGTGAGGGGTCTCTATGACTGTTTGAGGGTCTCTATGACTGTGTGAGGGGTCTCTATGACAGTGTGAGGGGTCTCTATGACAGTGTGAGGGGTCTCTATGACAGTGTGAGGGGTCTCTATGACAGTGTGAGGGGTCTCTATGACAGTGTGAGGGGTCTCTATGACTGTGTGACGGGGTCTCTATGACAGTGTGACGGGTCTCTATGACTGTGTGAGGGGTCTCTATGACTGTGTGAGGGGTCTCTATGACAGTGTGAGGGGTCTCTATGACTGTGTGAGGGGTCTCTATGACAGTGTGAGGGGTCTCTATGACTGTGTGAGGGGTCTCTATGACAGAGTGAGGGGTCTCTATGACTGTGTGAGGGGTCTCTATGACAGTGTGAGGGGTCTCTATGACTGTGTGAGGGGTCTCTATGACTGTGTGGAGGGGTCTCTATGACAGTGTGAGGGTCTCTATGACAGTGTGAGGGGTCTCTATGACAGTGTGAGGGGTCTCTATGACTGTGTGAGGGGTCTCTATGACAGTGTGAGGGGTCTCTATGACAGTGTGAGGGGTCTCTATGACTGTGTGAGGGGTCTCTATGACAGTGTGAGGGGTCTCTATGACAGTGTGAGGGGTCTCTATGACTGTGTGAGGGGTCTCTATGACAGAGTGAGGGGTCTCTATGACTGTGTGAGGGGTCTCTATGACAGTGTGAGGGGTCTCTATGACAGTGTGAGGGGTCTCTATGACAGTGTGAGGGGTCTCTATGACTGTGTGAGGGGTCTCTATGACAGAGTGAGGGGTCTCTATGACAGTGTGAGGGGTCTCTATGACTGTGTGAGGGGTCTCTATGACAGTGTGACGGGTCTCTATGACTGTGTGAGGGGTCTCTATGACTGTGTGAGGGGTCTCTATGACAGTGTGAGGGGTCTCTATGACAGTGTGAGGGGTCTCTATGACTGTGTGAGGGGTCTCTATGACTGTGTGAGGGGTCTCTATGACAGTGTGACGGGTCTCTATGACTGTGTGAGGGTCTCTATGACTGTGTGAGGGGTCTCTATGACTGTGTGAGGGGTCTCTATGACAGTGTGAGGGGTCTCTATGACTGTGTGAGGGGTCTCTATGACAGTGTGAGGGGTCTCTATGACAGTGTGAGGGGTCTCTATGACAGTGTGAGGGGTCTCTATGACAGTGTGAGGGGTCTCTATGACTGTGTGAGGGGTCTCTATGACAGTGTGAGGGGTCTCTATGACTGTGTGAGGGGTCTCTATGACTGTGTGAGGGGTCTCTATGACTGTGTGAGGGGTCTCTATGACAGTGTGAGGGGTCTCTATGACTGTGTGAGGGGTCTCTATGACAGTGTGAGGGGTCTCTATGACTGTGTGAGGGGTCTCTATGACTGTGTGAGGGGTCTCTATGACAGTGTGAGGGGTCTCTATGACTGTGTGAGGGGTCTCTATGACTGTGTGAGGGGTCTCTATGACTGTGTGAGGGGTCTCTATGACTGTGTGAGGGGTCTCTATGACTGTGTGAGGGGTCTCTATGACAGTGTGAGGGGTCTCTATGACAGTGTGAGGGGTCTCTATGACAGTGTGAGGGGTCTCTATGACAGTGTGACGGGTCTCTATGACTGTGTGAGGGGTCTCTATGACAGTGTGAGGGGTCTCTATGACTGTGTGAGGGGTCTCTATGACTGTGTGAGGGGTCTCTATGACTGTGTGAGGGGTCTCTATGACAGTGTCAGGGGTCTCTATGACTGTGTGAGGGGTCTCTATGACAGTGTGAGGGGTCTCTATGACAGTGTGAGGGGTCTCTATGACAGTGTCAGGGGTCTCTATGACAGTGTGAGGGGTCTCTATGACTGTGTGAGGGGTCTCTATGACTGTGTGAGGGGTCTCTATGACTGTGTGAGGGGTCTCTATGACAGTGTGAGGGGTCTCTATGACTGTGTGAGGGGTCTCTATGACTGTGTGAGGGGTCTCTATGACTGTGTGATTGTCACCTCTTGCTGCCGGTCGACTCGTCACGGACAAATCCCTCGCTGCGCTTGTTGATGGCGTAGTTGGTCAGGTGCATGCACACGTCATCCTGGACACACACAGAGACCCATAGACACCCATAGACACCCACAGAGACCCATAGACACCCACAGAGACCCATAGACACCCAAACGTCATCCTAGACACCCGCAGAGACCCATAGATACCCACAGAGACCCACACATCATCTTAGACACCCACAGAGACCCATAGACACCCACAGAGACCCATAGAGACCCACAGAGACCCACACGTCATCCTAGACACCCACAGACACCCACAGAGACCCATAGACACCCATAGAGAACCACAGACACCCACAGAGACCCATAGACACCCACAGAGACCCACACGTCATCCTAGACACCCACAGACACCCACAGAGACCCATAGACACCCACAGAGACCCATAGACACCCACACGTCATCCTAGACACCCACAGAGACCCATAGACACCCACAGACACCCACAGAGACCCACAGAGACCCACAGAGACCCACACAGACACCCACAGAGACCCACACAGAGACCCACAGAGACCCAAAGAGACCCACACAGACACCCACAGAGACCCACAGAGACCCACAGAGACCCACACATCCTAGACACCCACAGAGACCCACAGACAGCCACAGAGACCCACAGACACCCACAGAGACCCACACAGACACCCACAGAGACCCACAGAGACCCACACAGACACCACAGACACCCACACAGACACCCACAGACACCCACAGAGACCCGCAGAGACCCACACAGAGACCCACACAGACACCCACAGAGACCCACAGAGACCCACACAGAGACCCACACAGACCCACACAGAGACCCACACAGAGACCCACACAGAGACCCACAGAGACCCACACAGAGACCCACACAGACACCCACAGAGACCCACAGAGACCCACACAGACACCCACACACATCCTAGACACCCACAGAGACCCACAGACAGCCACAGAGACCCACAGAGATCCACAGAGACCCACACAGACACCCACAGACACCCACAGAGACCCACAGAGACCCGCACGTTGTCCTAGACCAGACGTGGGTGTATACGGCCCATCGGGCTTATTAATCCGGCCCGCCGAACCTGTCCAATATTATTATTATTATTAAATTAAATTTTACCTTTCTCTCCTGTAATGCCCCCATTTCCCCATTAGATGGCGCACTTTGACCGGGAGTCACGACTTGTTTTTGTATTTCATTAGACCTCCTTTGCCTGTACCAAAATGTAACAAAAGGGGGTTTCCCCCTTTTTACTGTTGGCAGAATAAAAGCGGAAAAAACCCTGTTATTATTATTACATTTTGGTACCGGCAAAAGGAGATCTAATGATGATGTAGATGCTCACCCCGAGCCCTCGTTACTTCGACAGCGGCATTGTCTTTGAGCTGTGGTGATGTCCTTTTGGGGAGTCATCTGGTCGAGCACCGATTTGGGGTCGAGGCTCAGGCAAAAGCCGTCCCTTGGCGTGGACCAATCAGTTTCAAGGACAATGCATCATACATTATCATAATGTGTGTGTGTTTTTTGTTTTGACTGCAGGTATCGTGGTTAATGCAGTAAACATGAATCATTGTTTAAAAAAGGTTTCAGTTTTGTTGCAAGAAAAAAGGGGAAAAACCCTGCTGTTATTATTATTACATTTTGGTACCGGCAAAAGGAGGTCTAATAATGATGTAGATGCTCACCCCAAGCCCTCATTACTTCGACAGCGGCATTGTCTTTGAGCTGTGGTGACGTCCTTTTGGGGAGTCATCATCTGGTCGAGCACCAATTTGGGGTCGAGGCTCAAGCAAAAGCCGTCCCTTGGCGTGGACCAATCAGTTTCAAGGACAGTGCATCATATATTATCATAGTGTGTGTGTGTTTTGTTTTGCATTTTGACTGCAGGTATCGTGGTTAATGCAGTAAACATGAATCATTGTTAAAAAAAGGTTTCAGTTTTGTTGCAAGAAAAAAGGGGAAAACCCCTGTTATTATTATTATTATTACATTTAAAGCTTTCGTGACTGCAAGGAATTCATCCTCTTTGGTTCTTTCGGTAAAGTCACCACCACGTAGAATGCGAATTAAAATAATAATAAATTGATCAAACAAAATAACACCAATGATAATATTCTCACGACGTTTCGGCCACATCACAAGCGGCCCTTCATCAGGTGAAGGGGACGAGACTGTCCTGTAGGCCGGCGCTGATGAAGGCCGCTTGTTTTTGTGGCCGAAACGTCGCGAGAATATTATTGGTGTTATTTTATTTTATCAATTTATTATTATTTTTTTATTCCCATTCTACGTGGTGGTGACTTTACGGAAAGAACCAAAGAAGATGAACCCTGTTATTATTATTATAATAATAATATTTATGCATTGATCATGTTCGTGCAATTTGTTAAATTGCCTTGCAAATAAATGCTTTGCTACCTGTTAAGAGGCCAAATCCTTCCACGTAATGATTTTTTACCCGTCATTTATATATTTAGTTCCACACAAACACTCCGTCCATCTGTTCCTGGCCAGGCCCCTCTGTCAAGTTTTAGAACCCCATTGTGGCCCGCGAGTCAAAACAATTAGCCCACCATTGGGCTAGACACCCACAGAGAATCACAGACACATACAGAGACCCACAGACACCCACAGAGACCCACAGACACCCACAGAGACCCACAGAGACCCACAGACACCCACACGTCATCCTAGACACCCACAGGTGAATGGGTGGGTGGGTGAGCGAGTGAGTGGGTGGGTGAGGGAGTGAGTGGGTGGGTGATTGAGCGAGTGGATCGGTGAGTGATTGGGTGAGCGGG